CCTTAAATCTCCAGCATGCTACCGGGTTCTAAGAAAATCTGGTCTGTTGTGCCTACCTCACCAAAGAACACTGCAGACTTTAACTTCACAAGTTGGGTTCCAAGAACAGTACGTCTGTGATGAATAAAGTTACAAGTTGATTTGGCTGTGAATTCTGGGCCACACCTGGCTATCGTTCGTTGGATGACTGTGGTAAAAAATCGGACAAGTTGTTGGGATTCAGTGTGGAAGATTAGGTCTGTTTAGTTTGTCGTTAGATTGGTTATATGTGTTGTCAACAAACAGGTCATTATGCATTTGCACGATATATTGTGTAACAGTTGTGAATTGCGATCCATGGACTGTCACCACAGGGTGTCCTTGTTGAAGGCGATTGAGTGAATTAATAAACATTGACACTATCATCAACTGTGCGTTCGCCGTGTCCTGTTTCAACACGTTGCAGTGTAAACTGGTATGCACCCTAGGAGTTTGCAAATGCTAGAGGCAAGAGACGGTTAGAAAGAGAGTTATTCTCTTCTATCTTTTTTTTATCCCACCAGGACATCACACAAGCGATAAACATCCGATGACACAAAGTGCCACCATGTGGGTGAGGATCACCGTGGAGAGGTCCCAGAAACCGTGTTTAGCCATTAGACCATATTTATGGCCGTGCTATATTGCGGCCCCTGGCAGGAGCCAGAGAGAGACTTCAAATAACGAAAAATTACATCCCACAACGGGATGACAATATTAGAGAGCTATTGCACTCCGCTGTGTGCACATTGTACAGGAGTGTGGTTTCATAGTAGTTACTGTAATTGCTGATATTACTGCTGTCAATCGCAGAGTTTACACTGATCTGCTGAAACCAAGCCAAACATTTATTGAGAACCCAGATTTTGCTGATAAAAAAAAATAATTTTACTGCATGATTCTGTGCACTTGTTAAAATATATATGTAGGAACTAGATCAACCAGAAGGAGACAGACCAGACATTTACGTTTCCTTTAATAACTGGACTAATGCTTAACGCCTGTGATAATGATAGAGCTGCAGAAGATAACTCAAATAAAAAAAAAGTATATTGTGGTGAGCAAAAGAATATTGCAAAACAGGCACCTATACTTTCTCACAAAGCCGTCTATCCCTCCAGCATGGACAGACAGAACGTTCCTCTTGCTTTGACAATTTTTAATGAATACAACGTTGCTTATCTGCGTCTAGTGAGCAGTAATGAGGCAGAAGATTCTATTGAGTCCATCCTTAGATGGTGTCATATTGTTAATGTGAAAAGTACATTTGTAGGTAAAAAGACACTGAACTCAAATCGGGACAGGCTGGCTGGCTGTAAAGGAAAAGTGACCAAAGAAACACACAATTCCCTGATGCATACAGTGAACGCAATGCTTTCTTTTATCAAATATATATTTGCAACCACAGAAGCCAGTCTTATACTTCTTGGAAAGCTGCAGACTGACAACTTAGAAGCTTTGTTTGGCGAATATCGCCAGTTATCTGGAGCAAACTATACAGTATTTGTTCAACAAGTTTTAGAAGCAGAAAAGAAACTAAATTTTTTTGTTTACCCACTGCTAAGTTTGTCCTCATCACTTATGGAGATTTTCCTACGCGTGACCTCTCAGAGTTTCTTAGCAGCAATAAAGAGGAAAATGAGGATGACATAATTACTGATGCTGTTCAGCCGGACGTGAATGTTTTTTCCCCCCACATAAACCCAAAGGACTGTGAATTATTGGCGTCTGAAGGTTCGGAGGAGTCACTGGTGTATGTTACTGGATTTGTCTCCAGTAAGCTTAAAAACAACAACAACAAAAACAACAACAACAAAATTGTTTGCTGCTTGGAAAGCTTTACTGCAGATGGCAGGCCATTAGCAAATGATGCTGACTCAGATGCAATGTCCACAGACTACATACAGCTGCTTGACCGTGGAGGTTTGAAATACCCTTTGAAATTTATAATCTTATTGACTTTTGTAGCATATACAGCTCTGCATAAGCTTATATCAGCGTCATTGTAGGGTCGACGCCTGCTGGTGGATGTAATGTCCTAAGTCTCCTCCCCAGCTAATAGTGAGGGTACTGCTGGGGTGACCATTTATTAACCCTCACATAATGCTTCAGGTCAAAATGGACGCTAGGCACGGTCACTTTTTTTTAATCCGTGGTAAATGTTTTTTTTTTCTTCTTCTGCCAGGCGGTGGCCGTTGCATTTTTGCTCCATTTGTAGACTGGAAGGATATAGTTTCGTCGCCCAGCTTCTGAGTTGAGTGCATGGCGTGACACTGTGAGCTTCGTGTGTTTTTCGTTGGCACAGGAGCGGAGCAATTATGGGGTGACCCGTTTGCTATGAAGCTGAAATTAGGATTACCAGATTACCAGATTACCAGATTACTAGATTACCAGATTACCAGATTATATCAGCTGAGTTGGGAACAAAATGTATAGCTTTCAAACATCACAAAAAATTGCTTATGCATATTTTCGAATGCAG